TTTCTCCTTTGGAGTAAGAGACTAATCTCATCCTGTTAAAGCACTAAGAGATAAGCTCTCTGTTTAATTTGCACAGCTTCTTGTATCCTGTTTTCAGATGAATCACTAATGATGTGAAGAGATCGGCATCTTTCCTCACATCCTACCTCAGCCCCCTTCAGTATTGTACAGACTTTCTTAGAGCCCATAAGATTTTGTTTATGTCTGTGTGTACCCAGAACATTTTTGCATATTCTACACCTAAAAGCAAAGATTGCCCTGTATAATTAGTTGATAAAGCAACATACAGTAATACAAAATTAAGCAAAGCATGCTCCTTTCTTATTCTGTCAGTGGAGGTATCAGAAGTCATTTGATCCCTGACTGCATCTGTTCTCAGAGTCTTCGTATTTACAGCTCTCCTTTGGGATTGCACTTATTTCTTTTCCTCTAACAGGAAGAAAAAGAAGTCCCTTCACCTCTAGCTTTGATTCCTGTCAGCTGTCCTTCATTCTGTTCTGACTATTCAGATTGAATCTGATTTATCACAGTTTTGCTTGTGCTACTCTTAAGCACGCAAACGTGATGGAATGACCTGGCTGAAGTCTCTAAAGATGTTAGAAAACTTGCCAGAGAATGAAAACATTGAGATTTAAAAATCTTCTGAATTGATATAAAAAATATCTTACTTGCAAATCTGTAAGTGTTATTTGAAATATGGATAGGATCAACAAAAATATTTGTCTGTTTTTTTTGCTATATGTAGCCTATATCAAACAAAAGGACTTCTGAAACAGCTATCCCTTCTAAATAGTTTTGCACAAAAAATCAGAACCTCACGTTGAAAAACAATTCAAGAGTGTCACTTGAAAGGAACTTGGAAAATTAGTCACAACAGAGTCAGTTTGTGCTTCTGCTTTTGACATCTACTCTGGTCCTAGAGCTTGTTGTCTCTTACATGTGATGTTGATGCCTACAAACAGCTACAGCATCTTGTTATCTGATAGACTTTGTTTTCCTCTAGAACATTGGCTGTTTTGTGGTGCAGCTATAGGTATGCAGCTTTTTAGTGCCCAAAGCTATGGAGTTTCAGAAGGCCAACAGGAGCATAGGGAAGATAGTTGATAGTGAGGATGCTCTCTTGGCTGTAGGCTAGTAGAACTGGCACTTTCCTACCATGTAGGTTAAGGATTTGCTTCAGGGATTGTGGTAGCACTTTATTTAGGCTGAATGTTGCTGTCCTAGAAAATCCTTTCTAGTGCAAATAGCTGGATGCAGTTTGGTAGGGTGGAGGAGGCAAGCTGCTTGCTTTCTTTGTCCTACTGCAGCTTTGTGTCATTATTTGGTACATTTGTGGTAACCTTGTGGTTGCACATTAGGAGGAATTTGTATTTCACATCTTTATTCTAGCCTCCTCAGTGACCTTATGGCTGATGACACAAACAGCTTAATCAACAGCCATCACTGCCCATCTGGGACAGTCCAAGAAAAATGGAGATTGAGCATTTTTTTGTGCGTTGACAAATGCTGTTTTCCATGACCAAAACTCTCTCTCCTCTTTCCTAAACCTTGTTATAAAATGTGAGTGATGCCTCTTACTGCTGATGTCACTCACTGTACTTCCCAGCTGGCTGTGAATCTAATCCATGTGATAGGTTTTTGCTCTGGAATGATGCCAGTAAGGGATTACTTTATTTTACTGCTGTTCTAAACTGCTCTTGTGCTGAGATGCTTTCCTGGATTATTCCTGTGTAATCCTTTATGATAAGCACAACAGCAAACGTACCGGAGAGGAAGAAGCAGTGAGGACAGACAGGTGAGTGTGCTGTGATAGGCTACTTCTTGCTTGGCCTCTGCTCATGGTTAAGATATATGTTGAAGCCTGGAATATTGGCATTCATCCTCTGGACCAGTAAATAGCTATGAACCTCAGTGTAAGGTGTGTTTTCTAAATAGGGATTCATGACTAGCCTTGTGAATTGCTGTGAGGTATCTGACTCACTAGTCACTTCAGTGTTTATACTGTAGAAACTGTCTTCTTCCAGGAGTATAGCCACATACGAGCAGCCCTAGCCCCAGCAAGAACTGCAGGTCTATGGGTTCTGCTGCTGATACAGGGTATCTATGTTGGAGGGTTTCCTCTTACCTGTTGTCCTTCAGGATAGCAGTCAGAGCAGTCTGCCTCCTTGCATCTTAGCTGTGCCCTATTCTCAAGTGATGTATGCTGTGTTTTTATTCTGCCATAGGTTAAAGATTCTCTCTTATGGCTAGCAGATGCCACAATAGCTCCTAGCAAGTACTGGTTTTCTCTTGTGATCTTCTTTGACACCAGTCTTGGCTACTCCTGGAGTCTCTCAAGTTCTTCAGACACCAATGTTCTAGATAAGTGGAAGGTTATCTGGAACTTGCACGATGAAACTTATTGTGGAGGTTTAATTTATTAGTATTTCTCAAATGCTTCTGAGAGTTCAGACGTTATAAAATACAAGTATTATTCTGCTTTACCGAGAAGAAAAAATGTTCTTGATTTGACTTACAGCTAACAGCTCCCACGTATGTCCTTACAAATAGATGTAGAATTGCAAGCAGCAGGAAAGCATTTGTTTATCACAGAATGTCCTTGGCAGTCCCTGTTGTGTGCTGGGGACTTTTCTGTACAATGTTACTTCTGTTTAGCAGTTAATTCCCATTAAAAGCATCTTTTTTTTTTTTCTTCCCCTCTAGATGATATCTTCTCTAGCAGCCAAACCAAGATACCCACTCCCAAAAGTAGATCTTCCCAGACAGCCTCGGAAGTGAAGTCTGAAAGCAAGGCACTGAGCACATTTGATGACCCACTGAATGCCTTTGGAGGCCAGTAGCCAAGAGGAATGTGTTGCACAGAGGAGGCCTTCCTTATGCTCTGTCTCATACACTGGATTCCCTAATCCAGTAGAGCTGAAATGAGAGCTGTGGATATGTAAATGACAGATTACCCATTATAAATAGTTAGTATGCTCTTGTACTGGGTTTAATTACTCTTAATGATATATTAAAAAAGGATGGTAACCTGCTATTTTTTTCTATGGTGGCCAGATGAATATAGCCTGTGCAATACCTGCGACGAAGTAATCTATTATACAAAGTATAGTTTGTTTTATTGAACAGAGCTATAGAGAAAATCATTGATATTGTTAAATAGTAAATGGAGTCTGTTAAATTAGATCCGTCTGTACGTTTTGCTTTCTACTTTACTACTTGTTAAGGACATCTACATTGTGCCTGGAAAATAACCCAAACTACTGCCATGCTTTATCTAAGCCTGCTGTCAGTCTCCTGAGCTAAAGTTAGCGTAAGGCAGGATTCTGTCTGTTATTAGGTATAGCTCTTAGATATATCTAATCAAGCACTTGGAGCAGGAATTGATACCAGGTAGAGACCAGTTATTTCATACCGGCAGCTAATACGGTCTATAAAAATAAATGCTTAAAACTTCTCTGCCATTGTGTGTTATAGAAGAGTACCTAGTGTTCTATGAGAACAATAGAAACCTAACGTTGTCTTCTATTCAAGTTGTAAGCCACTAAATGAGACTTCAGCCTGCTTGGATTTGTCAAAGCTTTGCAAATAACACTTCCCCAGCAGTCCATCTATACTGAGCATGCTTGTCACTTCAGCGTTGACAAGCTTATGTGCATTCCTTAATGCAGCGGCTCACTTGTGGCAAAGGCTTGGATCACCTCTTACTGCCGGCTTTTCTTTCATATCTGTAACACATCATAGGCTGTTTACAGGAACTTGTTATTTTGTGTAAGCTCTCTAACTCTCTACTGTATTTGGCTTAACCTTCTTGGTTTCCTTATTTTCTAGATTATCCTTGTGGAAAGGATGTGATTAACCATATTTCATGTCCAAGCAGAGCGAATGTATAAATTTTAGTAGTGACTGCCTGAATTTCTAACTTTTAAACTAGGTGTGCTGTTTTTATGATAGGAATGTCCTACCTTAGCTCTTAGCCTGTTCTATTTGCTGTGAGTTTAAAGCAGGTGCTCAGAGGATCTCTTTAAGAGCAATTCCTGCTGTCACTGAAGCCCTTGTTCTGGGACACCTGCTTCCATCTGCCCTTACTTCAAGGGCACAGAAACTACACCAGACGGAGCATCTAGCATTAATGAGGGTAAAGCAGAAGGAAAGGGTGGAAGGGGTAAGAACAGAGAACTATCACGTATCGACTTGCAACATAGGTGGGCCTGGTACTGACTCACATTAAGTGGGGGTAAGCTGGGAGTAGCAGCTTGGAGGAGAAGGGGGGAGATGTCTGCAAACGGGTGCCTACAGTGAAAGCGCTCACAATTTATTTATAGGCACTGCATCTGTTGCATATGCCTCATACATGCCTCATGCATATGTTTGGACATCCTCTTTACTCCTTTCTTTTGTGCTTAAAGCAGACTGAACGACAGCGGGGGGGGGGGGGGGGGGGGAAGGAGAAAGATGGGGGATTCTTCTTCTTTTCTCCATCCTCCTTTTTTATTTTTGCTCCCTTTGCATTAATAATTGACACGAGTCTGGTAGAGCCTGATGCTCACGAGCTGAACACCCCAGGGGCTAGGAGGAGGTGGAGTAGGAGGTAAAAACACGCACGGCAGGGGCTTGAGGCTTCAGTGGAGAGGAACCCTTCGTGAAGCCTGGCGCCACAGCCCAGCTCCAACCTGTCCTACCCCCAGCCTGGGGCATCCCTGAGGCATCCCTGAGGCGTGGGACTACACTACCCAGGAGCCTCTGCGGCCTCCCTGTCACGTGCCCTCCGCCCCCAGCGGAGCCGCTGCATCCGGGCCCTTCCCGCGCCCGCCCCGCCCCTTAACGACCACAACAAGCGCCCCGAACGCTCTCGGCCCCGCCCTCCCCGGCGGCACCGGGAGCACCGCCCCCGGAGGGAGCCGATTGGGCGAGCCGCCGCCGAGCGGCCTCCTCATTGGCCGGCAGCTGCCCGGGGGAGGTCATAAAGGCTGCGCCCAGGCGGCGCGGGGGCTGTCGGGCGGCGGGCGGGCGGTGTTGGGGCGGGGGGCTGCTGGCTGCCGGCTGCCACCCCTCGGCGGCGGCGGGTCCGTGGCGGCGCCGCTCCGCGCGCAGCCGCCGGGCGAGCAGCGCGGGGGGAGAGGGGCCGGGCCGCCACCCCTCCGAGGGCCCGGCGGCGGCCGCAGGTAGGTGGGCAGGGAGCGGGCCCCGCCCTGCTGCCCCGGGAGAGCGGCGGGGCCCGGGGAGAGGCCGAGCTGAGGTGAGGGGCGGCGGGGGCGGGCGGCCGCTGCCCTCCTTTGTTCGCGGCCCGGCCCTGGCGGCGCAGCCCGGGAGGTGCCCGGTGGCCGGCGCCACCCAGGTGCTGGCTGACCGACCGCCGGCTGCTCGGGTTTCCTTCCCGGTTGGACCGGGACGGCTGCGGCCGGGCGCTGTTAGAGCTGTGCCCGTCCCGTTGTAGGTGGAGGAGCCCAACCATGAGCAGCGACACACCGCACCTGTCCCCCGGGCTGCCCTGGCTGCAAGCGCAGCGCGGTTTCCCGGCGGATCGGCTGGCGAGGAAGTTGTAAATCCTTTGTGATGGCCAACAAGAAGGAGCCTCCCTTTTTCAACGAGGATAACATGGGGCCGTTTCACTACAAACTTCCTTTCTACGAAACTATGGAGCTCTTCATCGAAACGCTCACGGGAACCTGCTTCGAGCTGCGAGTTTCTCCCTTTGAAACAGTTATTTCTGTGAAAGCGAAAATTCAAAGACTGGAAGGTACCCTTATCTTTTATTTGAGCTTAAACTTTACCACTTTAGAGGAAGTCTTGTTCTACAAATGATAATTCCTAAAATCAAAGCAGAAAATTTAAGTGACTCATTCAGTAATAGGCATAAGCAAGGTGCTCGTTTTATGGCTTCGGTTTAAATGGATTTTTTTTTTTTTGCTATTGTTTCTTTTGTTTTCCTATCAGCTCATATCTTAGGCTCATTGGAGTGGGTGTTTTCCCATTTTTTCCTCTTTTTGTGTGTGTTGTTAGTTAGATAAAGCATAAGAAATTCATAACAAATCATGAATTGTCTTGATGTTATTTGGCGTGTAATCTTTGTGTTGTTCAGTGGATTATGTGACACAAAATTTGCTTGTTAACCAGCAAGGGCTCTCAAAACAGAGGTTATAAGCTTGAGTCTCTCAGTGTGTCTTTACCGCAGCTCCGAGGACACTTAAAACTTAGTGCTGTAGCTGTCGCTTCTTAGGTTCGTTGGTTTGTGGTAGTTTGGATTGTCCGTGATACCATAGTCCCAAGAGCAACTGCTGTGCAGGCCAGCTACCAAGACAGCTTGAAGTTCCTGATTTGAGTCTTGTTCAGGTGGCTGATGTGTTGCTGGCAGGAGTCTGGCTGAGTACTGCTCTTAGTGTGATGAACTTGGCAGGCATCTTGTAAAGCGATAACCTCCTTTAGTTTATGAGTCTGGTCTGTTGATCTGGCTAATGAAAGCAGAAAATATGTGTTGGATTAGTCTTCTGTCACCCCTTTCTCATCCTGCATGGAAGAACATGATTGCATCTTCTCACTTTGTAAGCCTAACAGAACTCTGCGCGAGCTGACAGTTGCTTATTTCAAGACAAGGGATCCTGTTTACTCAGTCTGCTCGTCCATGGGTTTTATAATGCTTCTGTCTGTAGAAGCCACCTTTTGGGAGATGTAAATATGATGCTTTAGACTTAAATTGAGGATATTCTCCTTCTTTTATGGAAATCTGTGCTAACGAGCTGAAACATAAGAGTTGCAACAATAAGGGTGATATTTTGCTAGAGAGATCACATACTAGAAGCTCCAATATGCAAGTAACGCTAACTTTACATGGTTCAACAAGGCCAAGTGCTGGGTCCTGCTGGGACACAACAACCCTACAGACTGGGGGAAGAGTGGCTGGAAAGCTGCCTGGAGGAAAGGGACCTGGGGGGATTGGTCGACAGCTGGCTGAATGTGAGCCAGCAGTGTGCTCAGGTGGCCAAGAAGGCCAACAGCATCCTGGCTTGTGTCAGAAACCTGCAGGGAAGTGATTGTTTCCCTGTGCCCAGCTCTGATGAGGCAACACCTCGAGCACTGTGTTCAGTTTTGGGCTCCTCAATACAAGAAGGACGTCGAGGTGCTGGAGTGTGTCTGGTGAAGGGCCTGGAGAACAAGTCCGATGAGAAGCAGCTGAGGGAGCTGGGGTTGTTCAGGCTGGAGAAAAATGAGGCTCAGGGGTGATCTTATCTCTGTAGTTACCTTAAAGGAGGCTACAGAGAGGTCGGGATCAGTCTCTTCTCCCAAGCACCAAGTGATAAGATGAGGAAATGGCCTCAGGTTGCGCCAGAGGAGTTTTAGGTTACATATTAGGGAAATTTTCTTCACCAAGCGGGTTGTAAAGCATTGGAACAGGCTGCCCAGGGGAGTAGCTGAGTCAGTGTCCCCGAAGGTATTTAAAAGACACATAGATGTGCTTAGTGACATGGTTTAGTGGTGGACTTGGAAGTGCTGGGTTAGGTTTATGGTTGGACTAGGTGATTTCAGAGGTCTTGTCCAACCTAAATGATTCTCTTCTGCTCTATTCTATAACCAGAGTTTACATTAGGATAGCCATGTGGACGTGCTTTTGTTTCCTGTGGACAAGGCTGTAATTAAACATGAGTCAGAGAACGTGTTGAGGAACTCCTGGAGGCTAGAGGTGGAACAGGACAAGGAAAGGTGTTGTTTTTTTCTTCTCTGGTTGATTGAACAGTAGGAGAGGTGTGAGCAGATACGTGATACAATGCTACAAGTAAATTGAAAGGGAGTATAGGCAATAGAGTACAGGAGAAGGCAGTCTATATAGACAATACAGATAAAGGAAAGAGCCTGAAAGGATGCATGAAGAGACCAGTGGGAAATGTGAGAGAAGAATTTGAATTTCTTGTAGTTCAAAACAGGAGACTGCAAACTGGCACACTGAACTATATCTACAGCCTATTGTTGGGGGCTGGGTGAGCCTAGCTTAAAAAGGCATCATAATTACATGTGATCAGTACTAAGGTTATAGCATTGTTTATTAGGAATTTGGTTTACACGTTGTAGTTCTCAGGATGATAAAGCAGTTAGTGGCTTAGCTGCCTGCTGTGTTGAATTAATTATTAATAAGTAAATTTCATTAAAACACAGAAGAGCTTGCTGGTGCTTACCACTGAATTGTTAGAAATCAGATGAAATACTTAATACTCCAGAACATAGTTAAAAGATCTGCAACTTCCCAAGTCATAATTCACTATAACTTGGAGGGGAGAAGGCAGAAAAAAACTGGTTGTGTGCGTAAGTGTGAAGGGAACAGAGGCTATGATAAATCCATTTTATGTTGCATTTGAAGCTACCAGTGCATGATTTTAAAAAACAAACAAAAAACACAACAGCTTCTCAGTATTGAAGTTTCTGCTGCAATGTACAAGTTGAAACAATGAATCACCCATGTGAAGGGAAAATCCTGAAGTAATTTTGTGGTTGTGGTCTAGCAGGGGAAGTGGAATGCTTACTTCTGTTCCTGTTGCAGCAGCGATTTTTCACTTATTATTATTGTATCGTTTCAACATTCATGGGGTGTGAACCTCCCCAGGCATATCTGCCTGCAGAATTCCTCCTACGTACACTGCTAGGAGACACTACGGGGCCCTGAGCGTGCGTGTTGTCTCCATGGACTGATATATGTGCGAGGAGGATGGTAGAAAAGCATGCAAAATAAGTTCTGGAAAATGATTAGTGTTGCTAACGTCTCCAAGCACAAAATTTTGAATCATATCAGAAGTTAACAGATTTGTTCAGTTGTCATCAGCGCCTCTAATTGTAGGAGGCTAATACTAAAACTAACTTAGAAGAAGTGACCTCTGTCAACAACTGGAATATCAATAGCTGTGGACAGCAATAAGAATGGATAGTATGGGTGTCATGTAAGGAATCTTCAATACTTCTGATAACATTTGTCATTCTCAGTACCTCTTTAATGATCTGATGGGAAAGGGTTTGTTTAGAGCGCTGCAGTAGACATTGGTATCCTACTAAAACAGAGCTCCTTTGTCTGTCTCATTCCAGTTGGTTTTAGCGGGTGAATATGGGTAAAAATGCATCTATGGGTTCTAGCACATCTGAAACTTCAGTGCAAATCAACGTGTAAATTGGAGTTAAAGCAGATCCATTGTGTGTATTTGGATCCCCTGCAGGCATTTGTCTCAGATACATTCCATGCAAAGTAAGCGCTCAGTTAGCAAAACTTTGGTTTGTTACAATGATGACTTCGGAGCTACCTGTCACGTCAAGTCTCACATTCACTGAATGAGCCTTTTTAGGTGGTGTGCTAGAGCAGAGCTAGCTCCCTTTGTCTCTGCTGGTGGCATAAAAGCCAGAATACTCAGCCAGCAGCAGGATGTGGTATTGTGAGCAGTGCTGCTTGCTCCCTTGGCTCTACTTAGTATTTTAAATCGTGGCCATGTGTTGATGATCGTAGGTTGGATGCTACCTGGGTTTCAAGGTGTTGTGAGAGTCTGAGACATAACATAGAAGTCAAGGTTAAAAATAACAGGAGCTCACTAGAAGAGGAAATTACTTCTTACTTAGAATAAATGCTTTGGTCACTCCCTCAAGTGATCTCTTCTTGCTTCCTCCATTGCACAAGTCTTTGTGGCTGCTGGGCTGGGCAAGGTTTAGTATTCTTCATTCAGAAAGACATTATATTGAATTTTAGGAAGGAGCATTTAGACAGCACACACCTAGTAGTGATTAATTTTTTGATCTGTAAATTAATTGTAGATAATACCAGGAAATATGTACGCTAATGTAGGTTACTGTCATGCAAGTGGCATCTGGGGATTTTGACAATTATAAAACCAGTACCTGCTGCTGTTAGTTGTTGGGAATCTTTGCAGCTCTTCCATAATGTAGCTAGGTAATGGGGCAAAATCAAGACTGTGGGCCCAGCCTGGCTGTAAGCAGGAACACAAAGTAAATGTTTAAGAAAGTCTCCAGCAATTTCAACACTAGATGAAAGATAAGTACCAAGTTTGAACTTTGACTTTGAAATATTTGTGTTTTTAAACATAGTAACCTTGTACCCACAACATAAAATCAAGCTTACTCTGAAATCTGTGGGTTTCTCTGGGTGTCAACCAACATCCATTTCTATGAGCTTACTTGGTGTGCCAGAAAGAAAAGCAAAGGAGTGAACCTTAAGGGTGTGTTGCCCCCCTTGCCACCATTTTAGTAGGTTGTGTTGTCTATTGAAATGGCTGCAGATGTGCTAACAGCCTGAAGAAACTTCTTTTCTCCCACAGCATCAGTTGGCTTGCCCCCTTCCATTCGAGCGTTGAGCTTTAGCTTTTTGCCTCGTTTTCCTTTCTGCTCTGGACCAATTTAGAGCAGACTAGTGATACAGTCATGTGCTGCTTAGGGAGGAGGGGATAGCAGATGAGTATCTTGCAGTTGTCATTATGGTTGCCAATTCCATGTACTGATCCCCTGTGCAAATGTCTCTTCAAGAAAGGCTTACTATAATTCAGAAAAGGAACAGCTGATGCATATTTTCTTGCACTTGAACCTGTAAAGCACATCCCGTTTCATTTGTGCATAAGTACAGAATTCTTAGAAAGCAGCATAAAATGGAATTAGTAATAAAGACTCATCTGTTTCCCATTACACCAGAGTATAGTGTTTTCATCTGTTCATCAAAATTACATTGTCATTGTTGGATGAACAAAACCATGCTTCACTGCAGCACTGCCAGTTGCAAGGCAGCCTTTTTAACATAGACTCTCTCAGTTTATCAAAGTAATTGGAAATTGCTCCTTGGAGGCTGCTGAAACCATAACAAATGCAGACAGTAATGACTGTTTGTAATCAGAGGACTACAAAACAACAAAGAAAAGAACTTCACTGCAGACTTGCTGGCTCTTGCCAGCGTGTTCTTGTTTTGCTTATGCTGCAGACTTGAAACATAACCAATAACCAGTTATTCAATAGCTGGCAGGGTAACAGCTATTATGCTAGTCTACTATATGAACACATTCCCCTCATAAAAGTCTTGTGTACTTTGGAGAATGCGAGACTCGTTCTGACTGCCGTCAAAGTGCGGTAATGTATCGGTCATTCATAAAGGACAAAATCTAGATGCTAGCTGCGGTGAGAAAAGGACATTGTGATCTGCTCTAAAACTTACTAAAAACTCTGGTAGTTGCACCAAAATGCAATCTGTGTTTTCCACAGGGGTGTCCACTTAACAGGTTTCCTGCTTGTCTGTTGAATCTGCTTGGATTTTCACCAGAATTTGGCCCCCTTTTCCCCTTTTCATCCTTGCTGGTGATGGGCGTTGGTGCCCTTTCTCCAGTGTTAGAAGGGGCTACTTAACTGGCCTCTTGCTGTTGCAAGCCTCGGGAAGCTGAGAGGTTTTTGGCAAAACAACTGGAAGACTGATCTTTGCATTCTCTTTTCCCCAGGTATATTTTGAGAAGTCCGTGTAGTACTGCTACTTACATCTCCTTTTAAGTATCTGAGCATGCAACTAAGCAGTGAATGGCACGATCTGACACTGTACTGTCCAAGATGAAAGTGTGTGATTACTTTAATGTAACCTTTTGGAAAATATAACTTTTGGTGCTTAATCTGTGGAGTGGTGTTTAGACCATTTTCAACAAATAGTTCTTGGCCTCTATAGATTCCAATTTAATTAAATTTTTTCAGGAATGCACAGTGAAATCTTAATTACCTGGGTTTCACTAGGTAGGCTAAACAGAATTTACTTCCTTTTGATGCTGAAGGGAAGATTTATATTTTTTTTTTCAAAGGCAGAAAAAGCTATTCTTCTTCTCAGTAGCCTTCATGCTTTTTGGTGGTCAGAGATGTCTGATCCTTTCATAACTATCCTGGCTGGTACTCAATTCAAAATGTGGAAGGTGGCAGCATTTCAATAAAACTGTGTGAAGACCTTGGGTTCTACCTGCTTGTGCTTATTCTCTTTAATGTGTGTTAGGTCTGTATTTAAATTACTTGACTGTATAGGCAAGAGGAAACAAATAGTCATTGTGTAGACTGTAGATCCTTAATAAGGAACAAATATTTTGTATGCTTGCCTCTTTTTAACAAAAGTCATTCTAAATCTGTCCCAGAACTTGAGCTGGAAATGAGTATTACTGGATATAAACAATAAAGCATTCTGATGGCTTAAATGAACACTTAAAGCAAGTAAAAGTTGTCTAGTATGAAGTTTACTGTATTGTACATGTGAACTTTCAGGTTCCAAGTCAAACAGTGATAAAAACACCTTCAACACCTGAGCTGTTAACTGAGCTGCCACCAGTTACTTAATGTGTCCTTGTCTTTACCGTAACACAGAATGTCAGCCAGATAAATTATTCAGCAGCTCTGTAGTTAGAAATTTTATCCCATTTTTCCTGTCAGAAACCAAGAAACTGAGGTGCAGATTAACGTTTGTATGGGAAGAACACAAACCAACCCTTCCTTGACCCATGTCTGGAAAAGAGCAGGTATTCAATAAATCTGAAGTAACCGAATGCTTCTACAGACCTCCTGAGCCAAGTGATTGAGCTCCACGTGCAAGCACAAGCTTACTGAAAACCTTAACTTTGTTCTTAATAATTATTCAGTAGGTTGGACATCATGACTGAGGGCTGCTGTCCAAGTGCATGTCCTTGTCCTGCTTCATTCCTTCTCTTGTGATCCCCTTTCTCGCTTCTTTTCTATATACCCCTGTTTCTTCCAAAAGCAAAACTCCCCCAAAACCCTCCCATCAAACTCTAATTTTAATCTCTTTTCCCCCTTTAGGTATTCCTGTCTCTCAGCAGCACTTAATCTGGAATAATATGGAACTGAAGGATGACTATTGTTTGAATGATTATAAGTAAGTATAGAATAAAATTGCAATGAATGTTTCTATATGATTGTTAGTATAGGCAATGGAAAATGTTATAAAAATGTATTTATTGTTATTTACAGCATTTCAGAAGGCTGCACTCTGAAGTTAGTTCTGGCTATGCGAGGTGGACCTATTAACACTAGAAGAGGTATGTGTTAACTTGGTTAAAAATTATGGTTTTCTTGTAACATAACTGTAAATGGCTTCTTGCAGCTAAGTATTTCAAACAAGCAGGTTCAGTTCCAAATTAATTGGAAAATACTTGACAAAAACAGAGGGATGTTTTTACCATCTTTTCTTCTTCAGCATAACAAGTGCACCATCTCTTTCGTTTTGTTTGCCCTTAGTTTAAGAAATATCTTCGTATGTACAGCGTCAGCAATCCTTCCTCTGAAAAAAATGCTCCTTTAATGTCATCATATGATTACATTTTAAAATTTAGTTAGTAAGAATCAGACATTGATTTAGTCTTGGTTAAGTGAATCATCCATTGAGAAGTGAAAGCTGAAAGTGAAGAAATCTCCTTGATGTGTTTTTACTTGGAAAGCACTCAGCGTAACTTTCAGGTTGGTAAATCCACTTGTAAACTGAGCTGAGCTCTCAAAGACAATCAAAACGTTGTGCCTAACGTTTGAGTGCTTTAATGGAATGAAGCCTCAGTTGTGATATTGCTCTCAGTGTAGTTTACCACAGGTAGATTTTGTAAAACAAGGCATATTTAAATTGTACGCTTAACTGAATTAGAATTTTTAGTTGTATTATTGCAGGAGAACTACATTAATCTTTGCTTCAAGAGAAGTCAGTACCATGAAAGGACTGATTGTCATCTAGCAGCAGTTGACAGTAGGATAATTCCGGCTGTGAAAAGTTTTCTGAAAATGTTTAGCTGTTCTTCTTGAAAAACATCCCGTTAGGAGTCCTTAGTGCTAATAAAAGAATACAGGGATACACTTGTTTCCATGTAAAATTAAAATGATTGAACTAAATTATGTTTTATTTTATTCTGCAGTGAGAGAATTACCCAAAATGAGGCTCTTTACAGGAAAAAAAAAAAAAGTGATTCCAGTAACTTTATTTTAGATCCATTCTTCTGACCATGAAATAAACTTACCTCTAAAATGTTTTAAAATTATTTGTGGGAGGGGCTGGCCTGCCTCCTATGTTACTGCTTCTACTTAACTTGATATCTTTGGGTTATGCAACTATAATTGTACCTTATATTTAATGAACTAGAAGTCTTCCAAGCTGTTTTGTGTCATACTTCCCATATCCTATTTATCTACAGTACAGCTTGAGAGAGATGCTTAAAGATGTATTCTGTAATCGCCAATATAGAAAGAATTTCTCCTTTCAGCTCTTGGAAATCAGGGAGAGGCATATTGTGATGATCTTACTGGGCCAGCTATTCAGTAACTTGAGCTGATTTCTTAGTCTATTCCTTCCTTTCTTTCACACATCTCAGTGTTGGTGGGACAGCTTTTTGTGAAGTGGCATCCTATACATTAATGGAACAAGAAAAGATTGTGGTAATGTGATGGTAAGGAGGAACAGCTAATTTAACATTCAAGATGAGCCAGACTACTTTAATTCCAAAGTCCAGATTTGTATTCACCAATTCAGCCAGCCTCCTGCATATGGGATGTAAAAATACCTCCCAAGCACTCTCCAGAATATGTGTGGTCATAGTAAGGTCTTCTGTTACTTCTCTGTATGGTTTGGTAGGTGCTGCTACATTTTTCCTCTTGTATCTGTCAGAAGAGGTGAGAGTAGGACAGTTAGAGTACCTATGGAACGGAATAAATTATAGTTAGGTGATTGAACAGAAAGAAGTTTTCAGAGGATGGATTATTAAAACAATTGGACTAGTAGTTATATTCTAAACTAGTTTATTTACAAAGACTTCTTTGTTGTTTCTTAGTCTCCGTTTGCTAATAAACAGTTTACTGCAGTGTAGAGCTGCAAAACTGGCAGAGAGAGACCTGAGCCAGATGTTTTGTGTGTACATATTTAAGCATCTAACTTGAATCTAGAGAATGACACTTACAGATCAGCAAGAATGATTGAAACTGACTATTTCAAGTTGAATCTTATTGCTGTTGTTTTCCAGGGGAAAGGCCTGTTAAAATGCTTTTGTGTCATAACTACAGTTGACTTTAGGCATGGTCTGAAAATGTGAGGGGTTTGCCAGAAATATGGGACTTCAAAGGTGCAATAATTTGTTCTTATTCTGTTTTTCTCTGTAGTTCCTGTAGAAGACCCTGTAAGGGAAATGGCTGAATACATGGATCCTGGTAGAGATGAGATCTGGGAGAAAGGGCCATCTAACAAACAAGTCACCTTCTTAGTATATCGAGAAGGAGATCAGCTGAATTTCTTCCGTGTGGTGGACCGGGGAGATGGCACTTTAACACCATTATCTGAATCTTTGAGGTAAAGTTGGTTTTAATCTTACTGTTATTCATCAAGATGGGGATGCTGTGTTGACTTTGTCAAAAGAATATCTGGAATTTTGGAAGAATGGTGGCCTAAGGGCTACCAAATTGCTGTAACTGAGTGGCCTAACTGTACAGTAGGACTTTATGGTCAGTGGTCATGCTAACTGTTGTCTATTTGTGTGTGTCAGTAAAGTGAGGTAATGCTGACCTTGTGCTTGAGGCAATTCTAGCCCCTTCTCAAAGAGAACTTTACATAAGAGAGTCAACTTGGCAATAGGGATATTAAAAACTTTTGAAAATCAAAAAAAAAGCTATAAAAAAAAACTTTTACATCTTAAGATATTTATTTAGTATTGTATAGATTTCTCTGTTCATGGGGTAAATCTTCTTTTCCATATGGATATGGCTTGACCAAATATTTAGTCAGGAAGATAACTGATAAGCAGTGCAAAGTCCTGACAGGGTTGGCCTGAAGTTTCAGAAAAGCTGTTTTTATTTTTCACTTGTTTTTATGTATACTTAAATGATTACTAATAGAGCTGGCCCTTGGACGTAACTAGACCTTAGATAAGTTGCAGTTGAGACCTCAAACTTGTCTCGGAATTGAAGTACTGATATAATCAAATGAATGACTGTCACGTATGCTACCGTGTTACAGTAAACAGACTGCTAGTCTGTTTCTTACTGAAGCTACCAAAATTGATAAAATCTATTGGAGAAATACTAGGCTGTTTTTATAGTGCAGCTTTTGGTCAGGTTTTTTAATCTCCTGAAGAACGTAATATTTGTACGGGTGCAAGAAAAGGAGTTGTACTGTTGTAGGGACTATCCGCATTTTCTCCATGTCCAAGGCTTGCAATGTTTTAAGTAACTCTTCTTGCTCCCGTTTGAAAGCAAAGAAAGCAAGGTCAGTTTGTCTCACATTAGCAGAATTCAGTGACTACAATTTATAAATGGTTTTGTTTTATAGTTCTCCAGATCATTTTACTTTGCCTGCAATTGAGTTAACAGTTAAAACTTGACAAGGTGTAAATACATACAATGATTACTGTCTCTGGGTTAAAATAAAATACCTGAAATTGTGGTAGAGCACTGATGGCAAGAAAAAAGTGTTTTAACAAGATATGGATCATCTTTGAAGCACACATTTTACGAGCAAGATCTCAGGAACATTGATACCTGTGGACAAAGTCAGTTAAAAAATGGACTATAAGTATCATCAAGAGCAAAGATCCCTGTCCCAACTCTCATAACTTTACAATCATGTTAAAGCAAAACCTCCTTTATTAGCCCTTCTTTGGTGTTTTTTCTCTTATTTAGTCAGAAAATGCAAGAAAAAGAGTAACAGTTCTTTTTGCATAAAGGGGAAGAAAGGAGACATGACTGTTGCATCCCTTTTCTTTCTATCCTTTTCTTGAATGAAGGGGAGTTCAAAGAATGTGTTTGAGTTGATAACTGAAGTCTTTGCAGATTTAAAATTCTGAAATAATTCTGTAGTGTTGGTTCTTTACCAGGAGAGGTATGTAATATTTGTACTGACCATTCCCATACAGAGCTGTTCAGTTTCTGGTAAGAAATGACTGAACTGTTCTGCTGCCATCTTGTTTTTAAAAATCTGTCTCCCAGCTGTGTTGCCTTCTGAATTTTGCTACATTTTAGGAAATGGATTGGGAGTGTCAGTACAAAAACACTGGCTCTTGACTAAAGCCAGCAGAGTATTTCCAAGAATAAGGTAAGATGCCAGCTTTAATTAGTGAAAAATAGTTTTTTGGTACTGACTTTCCCACAACCTTTAATTCTTCCTTGGTCTTATTTGGAGAGAAGAAACTTTTGTCATATCTACTAAGACATTTGTATGAACACAAGGGAATTGCCTGATTGTCACCATTTCTAGATGTTGACAGCCTAATGGAAGAATTAAAACATTCTAAAATGTTCTATATACAGTGTTGAAAATGCATCAATTTGTAGTGAATAGACACTCCTAATGGTTCTTTTATTTCTCTGTCAAATGTTGGATGTGTGTTGGTGATTAATGCTTCATAGGAAAAACAATCCAGATAATGGCGTTAAAACATTGTCTTTTTCCATTCTGTATTCTAACAGAATGCAAAACTTCAATGTGATGCTATAAATTTCCAGTGACTACTTGAGTTAAAATATTTTGTCTTAGGTCTAGCAATTCTAATCTGTATAATTTTTTTCCAAGTGTGAGACTTTTTGGAAACCTAAACTGATCCTTTTTTATTTTTTGTTTTTATTTTGAAAAGGAGAAAATAGAATATCACATCCACATGGGTGACCCCTCCATTTCCATTTATGGTGAGAACACCCCTCAGGATGGATAGAAATTTGGACTTTCCTTCCATGCCAGTGTCTGGTTAATTGGAAAACTGATCAGCTTGTTGTCTGAATCACACTGTTAACAGCTTTGGCCATACCTTCAGGAGACTTGTGGAACTGGATATTCCCTCTGTGGGAAAAATATATAGTGAGTGTGAACCAACTGTATATGGTATAACAACTTCCCAGAAGTGGGGCTATGTTCTGGTTTCAGCATCAGCACTTTGTGTGAGCACTCTAATAAGGAATGCTTATTTTCTAAAATAAATGGATTTGAAATGTCTCTGCATACAGTTTTACGTAATGCTTTGTCAACAGATCACCTACGGATTTGACTTTCTAGTTGTCAGAATACTCTACATTGAAAACATAATTAAATTGCTTAGAGGGTGAAAACAATTTTTCTTTTATTATTTTCAGTGGTGGTTCGGTGTATAACTTATATGCCGATGATGAAGATGAGACGGAGGCATCACCTTCTGGCCAACAGATTATTGAGAATTCAATTACTATGAATAAAATGAAACTGCTCAAGGCAAAGATGGAAAACATGAATCTAAGTAAAAAGGTAAAGCTGTGATTTCAATTCTTTTATAATCAAGTAGTTTGCACTTTCCCAATACTGGCTTTTCTAGAAAACAGGTCAGATGCTTTACTGTCTTGGGAAGTAGAGTGATAAAGGGTATATGATTTAATATCCATTTAAGAAAGATGAATGCTATTTTATTTATGTTCTTCTGTTGTGGGGCATAGGCTTTACCTGGATTGACCTGTCAGTATTCGAAGAATTCTCTATGGGTCCTGGATTTGTGTGTTTGTTTGTTTGTTTTTTCCTTCTTCCTCTGATGCATTAAGTAGTGTTATTTTGCATCAGTCCTCTGGTACAAAACAGTGTTTCTCTTAAATGGAAATTCTGGACTTGCTCTTAAGTGGAACTTAATTTTTAAATGGGATTAGAAATACTGTAACTAAAAGACCTATAACGTTAAATACAAGGATGAGATTGTGTAGCAGATAAAACATACAGATGGTGTTCAGGAGATCTGGATTAATAAAATTATTTAATGTCTGTCTCGCTTCCCTAGATGCTAGATGAAAATGTTATGCTTTTTCTTTCATGGTTGTTCTTGGCTGAGACCCTAAGCTCTTCTGGATAACTTCGGCATTCTGCTTTCCATTTTCTAATCCCTATGATGTACAGCCTTTTCAGATTGTAATCTTTGATTTTAATATTCTGATGGTGGTGTGAAATTTTGGTGGTTAGCAATACATGGTGGAGTAGAGTGAATGGTTTGGTGGTCATTTCTGGCCATATACTGTCAGAATTCCTGAGAATATGATTTCAGCAAGGACTCTGAATGTTTCCATAATTCAAATGCTAACTGTTTTTTTTTTCTTGTTGTTTTTTAATAGCCTAAAAAAACTGTCAAAGTGAAACCTCGTCCTCCAACAGCTCCTCGACCATCTAGTGGCTCAGCAGCTGCTGCTCGTCACCGGTTTTTAAGAGTGCTCCCCCATATTGGACAGTCCTGCCTACCTCCTCCTGGGAATTCATATCCTTTGGAGTCTTCCCAAAATGCACTTTCAGCTTTGGCTTCTTTGGCCACTGCTGGTAGAACAATGCCATCCACAACTAATGACTTTCTTAAGGAAGATGACACTTGGCAGAGTGCCTCTTGGTCTCATTCGGTTAGTAGCATCAGGTTACCACCGAAAATATCTCGTGTTGAACTAGAAAATGCAAAAGTACCTACAAATAGTATTCTGACTCCTGTTTCATCTCTGTCTGCAAACTTGGAAAAAGTGTCTGAAAATGTGACCTCAGCAAATGAAGAGGATTCTGTTTTGTATCCGAATCTAACAAATGTAGAACTGTATGGAACAGAAGAAAAACTTTTATCTGAAGCAGATACTTTCGCTTTGTTAACAGAAGCAAGCACCACAGAGCAGTGTAGTGAGATATATGATATAGGAAAGGTGAACCCAGAACTTGAACTGTCTGATGGAGATGAAGAATCTAAGGTTTTAGAACAGCATAGAAAACCTATTAGTAAAGTGCTGAGCACTGCAGCAATGGGGACAGGACTTCTCAGTACTCGTGAACTAAGTCCTCGGAAAAATACAGTTTTGTCACCTCTTCGTTATTCAGCACAAGTGGCACATCACAGTTCTCTGAAACCACAAACACAACCCAAATGCTTTGAGGCTGATAACTTGAGATCTACAGCCTCCCCAAATGTGCTTCGATCTTTGGAAGTCCGTAGTTTAGCAGATTCCTCTTTTTCTAGGACTACTAGATTTCATAGCATGAAAGTAGATTCACTTGGCAAGAGACCTGATGTAACTGCTAAAGCAGAAGCTAGGGACATCACAGATGTGACTAACAAGGCATCCAAAGAACCTGTGAGTTCTGTAAATAACTTAGGATTTCTAGCTTCGCTGGCCCGAAGCGCAAACAGGGAAAGTTTACAGAGTTCCTGTGGGACAGGCAGGTTTCGGACTTCTGGTATTGTACTACCTACAAATCTTCAGCATTTTCAGGAAGAAAGCTTTAGGAAAACTACTCCACCAAACGAAGCTGCTGAATATATTCTAGTGAGTACTAATACCCCCAAAGGAGTTGGGGTTTTCCTGTCTCTTCTGGTGTTGGCATTATGAAAGCTGTATTTTGTGTATGTCTGTGTGTCTTTTCAGGGAATGCAGATGGGGTGGGGTGTATACATAAATCTCTACTAGTCTAAAACTGTTTTCTGAATTCCTGTTGGTATATTAACTGCATGCTTATCTAAATGGATCCTAGAAGTAATTTTTCTTAAGAATTAAAGTGGTTGTTTAGTTCACAACTAAAATTATTAGTTATTGTAAAGATAAAATTACGACTGTTTGAAGTGTCATCTTAATTCTGCTGCTCACTAATTGTCACTTAATCTAAAGTTTTCCCTGTGACTAGCACCATATGTTGCTAGCTTCAGATTTCTTATGTACTTTGTTTTGTATGTTGTGAAGTACAGGAGACTATTAATTTGAGTAAGGCTTTATATTGTAGAATTTTAATTTCTTCATATGGAAGTCTTGGACTGTTTTTGTAGGTATATTGATTGATACAGCATTGGTTTCAAACAATCTGATATCAGACTGCCTAATCTTTCATGTAATTTCCATCTGCTAGTAATTTCATTGTGGAATTTTTTTTTAGTCTGCTCATGCGCTTGGAATGAATGGAATTAACGCAGCTGTAGGGAAAAGAGTAGGTAAGTAATGTGACTTAATAATTAAAGACGACACACTGATAATTCCTGATTTATTACATATTTAGAGGGCAAGAATCATATTTTTGTAAGGCATACATCTTTGAAAGTCCTTGCTGTGTTACACTTCTGTAGCATGGTATACCCTTAAACATTTTAAGCAATTATTTGATATACAGATGTCATTCTGATCTTGGGTAGATATGGCTGTGACTTCCCTAGCATTTTTTTTAATACTTAATGCTTGTCGTCTTTAGAACTAAAACATGACTTACTGCTCTGAAGTTTCCAAAAGACCAGTTCTATGAATACTTCTGAGTATACTAGAACCAGAGAGACTACATTCATTGGTAGCATTTGCTCTAGGACTACAGCCTTGGCAAAATAATTCCGCGAAGGAAAGCGGGGAGGACATGGATACTGAAGGCTGTTGATATCATGCTGATTTTTTTTTTGTAATTTTGTTCTTTCTACCCTAGTCTTGTTAACTGTATTGTGTTTAATGCTTACCATCTACTGAAAAAGGATATTATTTGCCTAAATATGAACTTATGTGATCAGTTCTCTCAGGAGGAATAAAGTTGTCTAGAGGAGCACTTGAAAACTCTTAATCCATATGAGTTGGTCTCTAGGCTGAAGCAACCAGGCTATATGTCTGGGGTAGAAGAATGGTCGTGAGCCTAGACCATATTATCTCTTTAGGAGTGTAAACCAATTCAAGGGTTGTATCTCCTGACTTCTCTGTGGAAAAATACTTGGCCAAGAAAATAATTGTCCTGGGTGTGTACAAATGCCTATGTAGGTAAAACTGTACTTGCTGAATCCTGTGGTGTTTATCTTCTCCCTATGCATATGTTAAATTGGTAAATGCAGTGGTTTGCTTCCACATCTTCTGCAGTCAACATTAATAAACATCTGTCCATAAATTCTCCGTGGCCAAAGAGGTGATGCCCACATCAGGCACATCTGCAGTATGGGGAAGCCTACCTTTTTGTCACTAGCTCCATTTTGGATAGAACTGTAATGAAGAGACTACTCTGGTCTATTTTGTCAGACAAAAGTGTATTTTCCGAAAGGTTTCAGGCACATGAAAGACTAAGTGGGTGTCATTATGTCCAGTGGAAAGGGACCTGGGGGGATCGGTCGACAGCTGGCTGAATACAAGCCAGCAGTATGCTCAGGTGGCCAGGAAGGCCGACATCATCCTGGCTTGTGTCAGAAACAGTGTGGCCAGCAGGGAAGTGATTGTTCCCCTGTGCCCAGCTCTGGTGAGGCCACACTTTGAGTACTGTGTTCAGTTTTGGGCCCCTTGCTACAAGAAGGACATCGAGGTGCTGGAGCGTGTCTGGTGAAGGGCCTGGAACACCAGTCCTGTGAGGATTAGCAGAGGGAGCCGGGGTTGTTCGGCCAGGAGAAAAGGAGGCTCGGGGAAGACCTTATCGCTCTCTAGTTATCATAAAGGAGGCTACAGTGAGGTGGGGATCAGACTCTTCTCCCAAGCAACAAGCGATGAGAAAATGGCCTCAAGATGCGCCATGGGAGGTTTAGATTAGATATTAGGAAAAATGTCTTCACTGAAATGGTTGTGACAGGAACAGGCTGCCCAGGGGAGTAGTTGAGTCAGTGTCCCTGAAGGTATTTAAAAGACACGTAGTGGACTGGGCAGTGCTAGGTTTATGGTTGGACTAGGTGATCTCAGAGGTCTTTTCCAACGTAAATGATTCTGTGATTCAATATCATGCATGCTCTTGGGAGAAAGGTTATTGGTAGTAATCACTTACATGACTGGCCAAAGGACAGATTCAGGTTGTTATCTTAAGGCCTTGATTAGCTACTTCTTGTTATAACTGCTGTGGGGACTGTAAATTAGAGAACAGGTGTAGCGTTTTTCTGTTTAGGTATGGTTCACCATGAGGACTGTCTTTCAAGCTCTCTCTTTCTCACAAACTGGGCTAACATGCTTCTGGAACAGTATGCTTTTAGATGATGAAGTAGATGGCACTGACAAACGTTGCCTGGAAATTTCTATAACGGATAGCAGTGGGACGATAGCACTGTTGGTAAATAGGACTGCAATGTGTAGTGACTACCTGGTGTCAATTGTTGCATGCAGCTGCTGCACCTCAGCTGAGAAATGACTGTTGGGATGAAGGTGCACGGCACAAGGACCACTTCTCAGCTCATGAGGTCATTTTTTTGAGCAGCATCCTGACAATATATTGATTCAAGTACTGAAAAATGTTTGAGAGACTGTTGCTCGTTTTCATTATCCTAGCATATGGTAAGCATGCATGAGTAAGAGCTGCTTCTGCAGATGGAAGAAAGATGCTTTTTCTTTCTGTGCTCACCAGTTCTGAAGCAACAGCCAAGAATTATAGGACAGAAAGAGTAAAATAAGCTTCTAAGTACAGAAGTCTAAGGAACATCCACAAAGTGTGTTATGAAATCACAAAGCTAAATGGAGATCTGTAGTCTAATAATGCACTTTTGTTGCAATTATGAAGTACCAGCAATGTTTTAAAATGTTACTGTTATTTATTTGATAAACTTGAATTATTAGTTACTGCATATGCTAGATGCTGCATACTTAAATGTCCAGTTGATTCTTTGGAAAGCTGTTGTGTGGGATATTTTCCCGATTGCATTATGTATTTTATTTTTTTTTTTGCATTTGAGAATAGTATTAGGAGTTGTTTGACTTCTTCTGTAACGTTTTGCTTATGTGAACTTTTAACATATTACAAAAATATGCGTTGGACTCCTGCATTACACTGCCTTTTCCGAAAGTTCATAGGCTTGAGGTGTGTTCACTGTTCTGGCTTTTGTGTTTTTGTTCAATGTTTAGGCTTGGGGGTCCCATCTGAAGTATCCTAAGAAATGCAGAATGAATCTGGATTTCAAAAGAACATTTAATTAGTTTGTGGTCAGGAATAAATAAAATTAAAATGTCTTTGCTGTCTCTCTACTTCTGAAAGCAGGTGAAGCAACCCATCTTCCACCTGTGAATGGCTCAGTTCAAGCAAAAAAGAAAATTGCAAAGCATTGCTTTCTTTGTGGCAAGAAAACTGGATTGGCAACCAGCTATGAGTGCAGGTAGGCTGAGTATATAACCAGCTGTTGTTTAAAATGGATAGCTGGGTAAACCAAAAGGTTTTCTGGGCTGCATGATACTCCTTGAACATAGGAAATCAAAAGAGAATTTACAAAAGAAGTTGATAGAATTGTTTGCAATTCTCAGTTCAGCAAAAACTGCAAGAAATAAAGCTCAGGAATGTTGTACTTGTTCTGCTGTTGAGGTGTACATTCTTCAAGGAAAATCAAGAAATGCAAGTTATCAGGAAATAATGAAAATTATGAACATGTCATGGTTCTTTTTTTTGGTGATCATATAATACAGAAGACTGGTGAGGGGAGAACTTCCTACAGACTTATGTTCTTCAAAAAGTTTATCAACAATAATTATTAACAACTTGAGGAAAAACTTTTTTTTAACAATTTAACAAAATCTACCTCTGATTTGACCCTACTGTAACACATCTGCACAGTTTGCCTCTTACAAATTTCTATTTTACAACTTGAAAATTGATTGTGTTCAAATTCTTGTGAAAATTCAGTAAGCACCTCAAAAGCAGAATATGAGAGTGCTGCTCCCCCAAGTCATGGTTTGTAGACAACGTGATGAGATTTGGAATTGTGATGGTGACCTTCAGGGTGAGGAAGTACCTTCTTACAGACTCTTCAGTTTTTATTTTTGAAACAGTTTTGGACAGTATAAAACTTTCTACTGAGCAAATAGATATAAGCTCTTCTAGAAATAACTAAGCAGCTTGCTTAAGGTTAAAAATGAAGTACATCTCCAGCCATGTGACCTCTTACTAGAATGGAACATCAACCAAATGGAGAATACAGTCATATGAGAGAACTGGTGATTACAGGACCAAGAACCAAAGAAAAATAAATTTGTTACCACGCACACAAGCCTCAGGAACAGATGCGAAGTTTATTGTGAACGCAGACAGATAGAGAAGTACAGTCTAATAGTGTGTTATGTTAAGGTGGATAAGTAATGTTCAGTCTGTTTAAAGAGCATTCTGATTTTGGATGATGTCATTGCTTTACTGTCAAGAAGTAATATAGTCAAGTACGTCAGGCGACAGGACACTAATATTGATTTCCAAGCTCGGATTAGGTACAGCATATATAGTATCATTTTTCCTGTTAAGAGTCTTCGCTGGTGAGCTGTCAAAGCAAAATTATCATATTAAGTCATTCAATTTGCAACTGATTCTGGAATGATGCATGCTTAGCCGATCATATAGAAAGCTATGTTCCCTATAGTTAGTCCATCTGTCATCTTTACAGCTGACTAAATTGGTAATTACTAATCTGAGCTTATGCCAGGCAGAAATCATGGTGAACTAAACATCTATTTTGGTGGTCTCAGTGATGTGGTGTTTTTTAATTGAAATGCATTGCGGCTTTCACCTAATGCAATTATGTTAGTTCCACGTTTTTGTCCTCCTAAGTCTACCTACTGATGTTGTGTGAGGTCCTTAAAAAGAAAAGAAGGAAAATAAATGAGAGCCCATCATTCTTAATTTATGTGTTTGTGATCCTTGCTAGTTGATTCCTGGTATACTGCTATGGCTTAATTTACAAGCTGAAGAGATTGTTGGGTTAAAACTGCAGCATTCAGTGACGACAATGTCATTTTGATTACCAGTTAATGTTAGCAGTCAAGGATGATTGGAATCTAAGCAGTTATGACAAAGAAACAAGACATGGTTAAGGCAAAGGGTTCCCAGAATGTCAGAGAGTTAAAAGCTTCTAAAAGCTTGTAACTTCTAATATTCTTGATTCTTCAGATGTGGAAACAACTTCTGTGCAACTCACCGCTATGCAGAGGCTCACACCTGCACCTACGACTATAAGAGTGCAGGGAGAAGGTATTTGCAAGAGACCAATCCCGTCGTTAGTGCACCAAAGCTTCCCAAAATCTAACATGGTTGTGCTGCATGTGGCCGTTCTGCCATTGAAGAATTATTACATTGAGAGAAGCACTTGCTTAAACTGCATAATTTTGCCATGCTCGATATCTAAAGATTTGCCAAGTAACAAAAGCACATGAGGATGCATCCTATTGAAGAATAATGTGAACACTACTGCAGTTAAAACTTTTCCTCTTTGGTGAATGAAAAGTTAAAGATAGTTTTTAAAAACTTACACTATGAATTAACTGTTACTGCACGTCTTGTGTTGTGTTTTATATTTGGAAAAGCTATTTCACTAGACAAGTCTTTAAAAGATGCACTTTACTAACTTCATTTACTGTATAACCAGACTTGAGGGGGTGTTGTAATGAGGGTGTCATGTAATGTCTTCTGTACTCCTGCGTTTTTTGTCCATTGCGTGGTATCTAAGTTATTTCACTAGAAAGATCCTCCTCCCTCCCCTTTCTTCAAAGAGCCTGTTTTGAGATATCTGAGGTGGTAGTGTATTCTGCCCCCTATTCCATTCAGATTGGTATTCATACACTGTGTATCCATTCTGAAAATAACATATCATGTTAATCACGTTTTCTTAAAATAATACTGTTTATATGACAGATTTGTTTTTAAATAGAAAATCTTCCCCTTTGTTGACATTAAATATAAGGAACAACTTATTTTAACTTTTTTTGTAATCCTAGATTTTTTTAAGATTTCACAGCCTGGTTTGTTAAGATGTCGAATGCTGTTACTGGAAGAAATTCTAATAAATATTAAATTTTATTCTGGTTTATGATCTTATAGATGCACAAAATAAGTCTTCCTATTTCAAAACACATGCCTAAATTAAAAGTTGGGCTTTGTTTTGGGGCTGGGGAGAAGGGGATATTTTTACATCTGTATTTTTCAGAAGCACCAGCTCATCTCTGTTCCCACTGAAGTTGGTCAAAAATTCCCACCTACTTCATTAGAAACAATGTGACCAACATTGTGTGCTTTAAATAAATTAAATAAACCTCCTGGATGTGGTAGCAAAGGAAAAACGGGTGTTCAACAAATGGCATATTTTAATCTTGAGAATTTATCACCTCCTGCTGATACTGTACAAAAGGCAGTTCAGTACTTACTTGCATGAGGCACCTCTAATGAGCATTTAGCCACTTTAGCAAGTGGTGTTTAGAGCCATACCTGCTGAAAGCCCAACCTAAAGCTTGTCCTCTTTCATTCACTTTACATGTCTGGAGTCTTTATAAGCTTACGTTGCCCAAGGTGTTATAGTATGAACACACATGTACCTCCACGTCGTATCTAGACACTTAAATGTCACGGTCCCTTTCTTAAAAGTTTCCTCAGCAATTTGGTTGTTTGGGGTTTTAAAATGGTCTATGCTGCTTTATAGTCGAACAGCAGCTGATCCGATGAGCACAGCTGTTAAAAGTTTGGCCAATAAAGAAAAGTAGATTGAAAGAGAAGTAACTGGAAGAATTCTCATCCTTGGAGAAATTCCTTTACATGTTCTCCACCTGTAACTTCTTCCTTTGGAATTTTCAGTAAGTGAGGTCCTTGGAACACAATTTTCAAATTCATTCTTCTGAACAGTTACAAGGTAAAATGGTCATTCTGTGTGTGATCCCTGGGTTTCTTTTTTCTTACTAGAAAAAGCTGCACTGAGTGCGGAGAACTGCATATAGTTTTTCTTCTTTCCAACGCAGGATAATACTTCATGCTGGAGGAAAAGAATAGGAAACTGGGCAAATGTATTGTTTTCCTAGCAATTTGTTACTTGTGGCTCAGCATCTTTAAGACAGCAGTATTGTTCTCTTGTAGATAAAGTACAAATTCTGGTAGGAAGTAGAATTAAAATAATGTAGGCTGTTATCACTTAAACTTAATCTGATATTGTTCAAGTATAATGGCAGGATATTTTTTTTTCTGCAGTGTATTAGAATGGCCACACTCAAATTTTTACAAAGAGTGTACAATTAAGATTTGTATCAGAAAGTATGAATAAAGTCTTGGTTGTGACTCTTTCTGCATATGCATAATGACATTCTGAAATGCGTAACCGTACTTTTCAGAAAATATAGTGTAGTAATAATGTGTAAATACTGTGTTTGTAGCCTCTTATCAGGTATAATTAAAATGGGGTACAATAGAAATGATAAAGGCTTTTCTTGAGCCTGCTCAACAATACTATGTTATAGGCAGTCCTTATTTCCAACCAGTAGAACAGCCCTAAGAGCACTAACATTTGTAATTAATGTTTTAGTTGCTAATCTATGATGTCAGGTTTTACCAAATCCTGTACTGAACTGTGCTATGGATTAATTACTGTTTACTGTGTAAACTTGCCTAAATGGTTTGGTTTTCTGAACATTAGTCAGTGCTCCGAGGTGCTGTGCATCTGCTGTAGACAACCATTTGGTTTCTGTGTACTTGTTCATGTAACTAGATTGTATCATAAGGCTTTTATACAGCGGGAGTTTGATAATGACTTTGTGTGCTCCTCTACTTTCCTTTTGTATTGTTTTTTCTTTTAATGTGAGGACCTTTAAGGCATAACCAGGCTTGTCTCTTGTTGAATGACTTTCGAGATTCTTGTGTCGAATTACTAGGTTCTACAGAGGTGTCAGAAGTGCTTTTGGATGAAAGATTTCCTTTCTCTGAAATCTCCTGTGGTGATAAAACTCTGCCTGCTTGCAATTCCCATCTCTACTCAGCTGGCATTCCCTTGAGATGTAATTGCACTGATGCCTTGCACTAACAAACTTGTCATAGACAAGGCTGGAATTGTTAATGCTTTTCATTATCCAAATGAAGTCTTTCTAGCACTTTTACACATGAGGAATTCGAATTCTTTTCAAGCACTTTCAACTTCTGTAGTGGGGCACTGTCTCCTGGGTATAAACTGTGGGTTTGGAGTAGCTTCTACCTCCAGGAATTTGCTTTCATCTACAGCCTTTGTGTTGGTCAGGTTTTTCTTTTTTATGTAACTCAGATTCATCTTGAAATGCATTTCTTGTTTTCTCTGGCATTTATGTTAGTGCTGAGTCACAGTTACTCATGTGAGAACGTTCTTGTGACTAAGACAGACATTTGCAGCTATGGAATAGTTGTGTGAGCTTCCGCTGCTTCTGAATGCTGTAGTTCTTAACCTGATTTTAGTTTGGGGTGAGCTTGCAATGTTTGCAGTGGATGGAGTGTTGGAGAGAAAGCAATGAAAAAAAGCAATTTCCTTTGTGTGGTTGTTGTCCTGTTTAAGATTATTGCCTATTAAAGTCACAAGATGTGCTCAATAGAAAGATGAACTCTAGGATTTTCCTTGTGAAGCAAATGTGTTTAGAGCCATTGTGATTTTTTTGGTAGTAATGTTTGGTTTTTAATACACAGAACTGTAATTTTTTCATGTTCTCAGATGAAGTTTCCCAAAACAGTCTCCTGTTTAGCTGTTTTCAATTCCTGTTTTATATTTTATGTTCCTAAGGTTACTTGAGAATACCATTGAGTATTACAAGCATATCTGTACATGAGTGAAGGGAGGGATATTCCTTTTTGCAGTATTAGTTTCAATTCCGCTTTTCCCTACACGCTGAGCAAATACAGAATGAACAATGTTGCATGCAAAACTTTACTGCTAGTCAGAAATGCTTTTCCACCCGTTAATCCAAAAAATAACAATTGCTTGAAAAGATAACAAGGGTTGTGTTTCTACTAAGGAATGTCATGCAAAGCCCCTAGGTGTCAGAGGAGATGCCAGTTTGAGCAGGTTCAGAATAAACTATTCAAACATACCTTCAGAATTGGACAGAACCAGGTATTTCTAATAATGCTTAGGTGTTTGCTATTTTGACCTATTTTATGTTCATAGCCTATCTTTATTTCCTCATCAGTGAAGCTTAGATTCTTTTATTTGTCAGGTGACCTTCTTGGGCCAAGTATTTTAGCAAGCTGTTTTTTTATCTTCCTCTCCTTGCTCTGTTTACAGTAGGGTGGATGCTTGCCTTATTTTTTCCTCTTGAGGGAAGTCCACCACTCCCTTTTTGTCAGTTTACAGCCGTGGGTTAAAGAAGCAGGTCCTCTACTGTAGTTGTTAGCTTTGGGGACCTCCTGAGATCTTGTAGGGTTATTCCTGATGAATCTTTCCATCCAATAAGAGTTCCACTAAGAAAGTTGTGCAGTTAAAGAACAAGCTACACTTAAAGCCTTTCCAGTCTTTAAAGATTGACATGCCAGATTTTATGTGTATTTCTCTCAAAAGAGAAATAGCCATGTAATCCCACATGTGGATCAAAAAAAGAATGCACCATTTAAGAAACCTACAGAATCCAATGTGCATAATCCTGTACCAATACGTGAAACTCTGTGGCTTAGGTAGGTTCTGTCTATTCCAGCCATTCCTTCTCTCAGCCATGATACTCTTGGTGACATGGAAGTTTTGTGTTTTCAGCTCTTCTGTATTTCAAACATCATCTCAATCTTTTAAATTATAGCAAGTCCATAAATAAGCCAGTATGTTTGGGTTTCTTTATCACTCTTGTCAATGCAGCCTTGTATATTTTTTTCCTCTATTTTTAGGGCTATCTTGTGCATCTGTTATGGAAAATAGTTTGTCATTGCTTCAAGCTTCCCATTTAACAGTTCTTTAGCCAAGAAAACATATGCTTGCATCAGCAGCAATTTAATAGCATGTCTGCAGAAGTTTTCAGAAAAGAGGAAACCAGCTATTTCCCAGCTTACTCTTAAGTCATCTTCAGTGCAGTCCGGGTTAGTCTATTGGGACTCCAGCTAATTTGGAGTAATTTGGTCTGGAAATGTTCAGCATAGGACATTTTGGTTTTGTTTGTTCTTCAGTACCTTATTAGAATGAAGCTTGCTTAGTAATTTTATCTTTTTTAGAAATTATTATAATCATGCCAAAAAAAAAAAAAGTGTCTAAAAGTGTGGTCCACTGTTTTGCAGCGTAACTTTCCTCTGGAATACAGCCTTTCTGGCAAAGAACTATGTGAGGTGTTAACTTTCTGTATGAAGCTGCAGGAAGAAGACACCAGGGGGCAGCGGAGGATTTAAGAATGGGAGAAATTTTTGGTTTTATCCCATGAGTTCTGCAATAGAAAACCATAGATAAGACAGCAGTTCTTTATGACCCTTATTCAGCCCACTCTGAACAGACCTGAGGAGGGTACCTTGCCTAATTCTGAAGTGTTTCAAAAAGCTTTGAAAAGAACAGAAGAATGACACAAAAATATGCTTGAACACTAAGTTTTTCTTATGACGAAAACTATTACCTAATTTTAGTATACTGCAGAATAGAGAGGTTTCCTCTGTTCCTCCCTACTAACCACGCAAATGTGTATTTCAGCAGTGTCTACTAGCTAAGTCATACTGGATGCTGTATACATAGTAAAAAATATTAACTGTGCCCATAATTTCATACTGCAAGGAGACAAATATTGTTGTCTTATGGATACAGAATGAGAATATGAAAGAATAAATTCAGTGGTATGTGAGGAGTGTACGCCAATAACAGGTCAAACAAGCTCTGACTGTCTCTTGCTGCTTGTCATTTCTGCCTTTGCAATTCAAGAAATTTTACAGGTCTTCAGCAACAAGAATTTATTCCTAATCCACACTTTCAGGTTGTTTTCAATCCTTTTTAAACCAGTCTTCTGTAGGGTTGATGACTATGTATCTTTAGATAAGGATTATGCATTCTGATTGCAACTAGATGGTGAATTGTTACTGAAATAAGGCATTCTAGCTGGCATCAGAAATTTAAAACAATACCTAATCACTAAAATAGTATGATTTACATGGTTTATCATTAAGAGGGTTAATGAGTTGGAAATAAAACCAATAAAGTTTTTCAAAAAAAAAATAATCAAGGGCTTCAAAACACCCTTTTCTTTCTCCCTTGTTTTATTAATTACAACTTAAAATAAAAAAAAAAAGCTTTTTTATCTCCATAAACTTTGTGCAGACAGTTGTGTTTTGTTTTGTTTTGTTTTTTACTTGAAAAGAAGTTGTTTGAACACCACCAGATTTTAGATTTATTTGGCATGAACCTATTTTATAGTTAATGTCAAGTTCTAGAACCGTTGCCTGTAATGGGCCACAATGGTTTGCTTAAACTCCTGTGCTGGCCAATGCAACGTTACAGTACAGGGATTTGTAATGAAATATCTTTGATTTTACATGTGATTGAGAGTTGAGTGACAGGATTTCTTCCTAGCATTGCTGTTGCTGGTCTTGCCGATCATCCCAGGTAGTTTGCTTCAGTGGAAACATAGGACTTACCAAAATAAGTTGGATTGGCTTGAGATCGGTCCAGCACATGTCTCCAGGAATAAGAGCTAACAGACACCTTCAGAAGAAGGTGCAAGAATTCTTCAGTAACTAATGTTCAGGAACCTGTTTTCAACACTGGATCTTAATCTCCTGTGCTAGTGGCTGGTGAAGAATTTACTGTCTATATCTGCAGTATGATATTAATTTGGAGGTCTATAAAAATCCAAAACAATCTTTGAATCTTAGTACTAATTGTGTGTACTGTGAATAGCATTTTCTTTCACTGCAGTTTTTACTTTCCTGCCATTTTTTAATTGAAATTAATTTGGTCTACTGCTGTGAGAAAGCATGAACAGTGTCTCCTAAATAATTCAATTTGTTCTATGTATTGCATCTCTTCTTACTCCTTTTTTTTTTTTTTTTTGTGGTACCAATTCACTGTCTTTGCTTTTCCAGGGCCTTAATTGTGCTTGCTGTCTGCTGAATCTCCTCTAATTTTGCAGTACACTTTCAGAGATCCTTCTGTCTTCTTCAGTTCCCTGTTTCCCATTTTTCTGTCTTGTATATTAAGCTTCAAGTTGCTCAAGGTAGTGACTGTCAGCTACTAGGTAATGGTACAATGGAAACCTTTGAAAGCGTGATTCAAATGGTAAAATATACCCAGGGTTCTTCAGAGGGAGGTCCTGTAGAAATGCTTAGTATTAATCTGTCCTCTCTGGACAGGATATAAATAGCAATACAGTATGGGGAG